TGGCCGGGAACGGCCCCGGCCCGCGCAGCGTGAGCAGCCTGCGCCCTTGCTGCCCGCGCGGTCACCTTCACTGGCCTCGCCCTTACCCCCTTCAATGCTCTGAGGGTGTAACCACCTCTCTCTGTAACCATCCCACCCCGGTAGCACGTTGCTTGTCCCTTGTGCAGGAAAGGGGCCTGACAAGTGGCTGACTGCCCCAGCCTGGGGAGCAAGGCAAGCGGGGGACTCGTTTCCCCTTTGTTCGATGAGACAAAATGCTTAAATTCAAGAAATCCCGGTCACGAGATGACCCCATCCTAAAGCTTGCTGCGTGAGAATGATAAATGAGGAATGATTCATATTGCTGCTTGGCTGGTCCTTTAATGGGAGTTGTGCTTAGCCCCGTTGAGACATTGTACTGATTCCAGCTGACACTTTAAAGTCAAATATCCAAGTGACACTTTGAAGATGAGGGAATCCACATAAAAGTATTTAGCATAAAACAGAAATCTTTCAGATGTGTTGGAGAGCTCTAGCAGGACATGGAAACCAGGTTTTTCATGACTCAGGTGAGTCTCCTGCAGCAAGTAGAAAGCTCGAAGAGGAGGATGGTTTCGTTTGGTAGGCCTGTGAAGTGAAATCCTGGGGAGTAGAGAGACTTGTGATCAAGGAGAAAGAATGCGATGAAAATATTAAACTTGGACAGTTTTATGAAGTTAGAAAGTTCCTGAAAAAAAAGACTTCAAAGCCTCGTAATGGAAAAGTCTGTGTTCTAGACAGTTAACTCAAAGTGGGGATTAGCTGTTTTTTTTTCTCCCTCCCTCCCAAAGTTGGAAAAAAAATCAGGCCAAAAAGTATGAAGCTGGTATGGCACAGTTAGCATCCATGCAGTGAAGATCATTTCTGTGACTTTGGTGCTTTGTACCTATCAACTATAGATTACTTTTCCCCCCTGTTTTTTTCTTTTTTTTTCTTTTTTTTTCTTTTCTTTTTTCTCCTTTTTTTTTGCAAAAATAAAGATTAATTATGGCAGAGTTAGGATGGAGTTGTATGTTGTTTTGTTACGATTTTTGAGGATGGAGGATGAGATGAAACTTTGCCATCTTACTCTGAAAAAGGCTTACAGCTACTTTACTATTGTTTTATTAAAATGGGATCTCTCCAGTGAGTCAGATAGAAAAGTAAAATGACAAAAATCCTAGTATAAGCCTGATCAACATAAGCTGCCAAGCAGAGCAGCGACTGTATTTCACTTAAATTTTTCTGAGGGGCTAGAGATAAAGCTCAGCCCTAGCTGTCTGGAGACCACGATCCAGGGCGGAATTCCCTTTTTTGTTAAAATGTGCTGGAAGAGGCAGCACACAGCTGAGGATGGCAGCCGTGTGGCTCACGGCCGCAGGGATTTTCCGCGTCCTGCAGTGTCAGGCCAGGGTTGATCTTCCCGCCGCGTGTCCCGTGTCTCTGGAGGCTTGTGCAGCAGCGCTGGGGGAGGCAGGCCCTGGGCTCATGAGCATCCCCATCAGCACGGGGTCTGCCTGGTGCCCAGTTACAAGATGCTGTAGCTCCTGTTGCCTTTTAGGCAGAGAAAATCGCTAGCTATGGCCATGCGAGGGCCACCTCTGCTGCCACCTCCTCTGTCATTGCAGCAAATGAGCCCTGGCAGTGTGCCTTAATGCAGCACTCGGGTGGCTCTTGCCAGTTCCGTTGCTTTGCACTGGATGACCTCATTTGGGGCGATCTGCTTGCATGGCAGGTTGCCAAATCTATTTGCTTACCTTCATCAAAGACATTAATGCCGACCAGTAAGGAGTTCAGGGCTACGAATCCAGTCTGTGTAACACCACGTACCACGTGTGGCTTTTGTTTCAAATTTTCATTATGTTTTCATTTGCTTAACCTTTATATTGTCATTTCTACTCATGTAAGAAAACAGTCTCTGGAATGGGAAGACTCAAATTCAGTTATTTAGAAACTGCCACTTGAATTGGATGCAGTGAATGTACCAGAAAAGAGAAGCAAAGCATTTGAATACATGACATTCCTAGGAACAACAATTATCCAAGTGGCTGAATCATGGAACACAAGAACATAACCGCAGATGGATTAGCGTGCGGTATTAGTTATTTTACAGCACTTAACCCTTGTGCCTGGTCGGCTTCACCACTCGAGAAATCCCCTGGCACATCTGTGCTCTGAAGGATGTTGATTTCTAATACTCGGGTTTCTTTCATCATCATTCTCTGCTTGCGTTTTTGACATGAATTGGTCTTGCTGAAGAACTGCTTTGGTCTTCAGTAAGGGCGTAGTTAGGAATCACGTGTGCTGAAAGCTGGAATAAGGCTGCAGGAGAAGCAAGAATTAATTGGATTGCATAGGGAGCTCTGCTCCTTGGCATGTCCCCTTGTAAGGGCTGTGCTTTTTTTTGGTACTGCATTTTACTCATTTAGCTGTTGGACCAAGCCAGGGCTACAGAATGGCTCAGAGGAAAGAAATGCTTAGCACATACTTCTCTACTGCTAAACATTTGGGGAAAGAATTCAAACCTGAGGAAAAAGAGTCTGCTCCTTTTTAGTTCTTTACCTAGGATTATCTCGTCTGCATGCAGTTCTACCGCAATGCTTAAAATGTTTTAGAATTCCTTTATTATATCTAGGCATATTCTTGGCTACTTATTCTCAGAGCTTAAAAGTGGTTACAAAAGAAGATGGCTTCAGGATTTCCCTGACTGCTGCTGGCAGGATTGGCCTTTCAGAAGCAGGAGCCCCTCTAGGGGAGCTGTTTCTGTAATCAGCTCAACAAAGTGGCAACTCCAGAGCAGTGTAGAAGCAGGAGCAATAGACACAAGACTGAGGAAATACTGCCTTAGCAGCTGGCTGCGCTTCTGAGCCAGGCAGAAGCCCCCAGGGATTAGGACTCTTGCTTTAAGGAAGATTTTTGTTTTTGTTTTTGTAACCAGTTGTGGTTTATTCTGTGTTGAATGCAGCTTAGCTGAGACTTGTATAAAGAATCAGATCATGCAGGTACTTGAACAAAAGTCACTTTTTAATATATATTGGCCGAAATATTTAATAAATGGAAGATTACATGTTTCTCTCTTGGCCCAAACCTGTGTTTACCACTCAGATCACCCGGTGTTTTGTTGAATGCAGGTCGTTAACTCTTCTCTTTTTCTCCTTTCATCAGAAAAATGAGCGGTGGGTTGGCACCCAGCAAAAGCACCGTGTATGTGTCAAATTTGCCCTTTGCTCTGACGAACAACGATCTGTACAGGGTAAGCAGTCTGTTTTAAGAAGTTACTTTGTTAAGATTGAAATTGGTGATGACTATTTCAAGTGTAAATGCAATGTTAATACATATTATTTACGAAGAAGTATGTATTGATACATTTATTACTAAGAAAATGCAATAATCTCATGTTAAATCTGTTTATTTTGTTCTATATTTCAGATCTTTTCAAAATATGGGAAAGTTGTCAAGTAAGTGCCCTGATACGGCCTGCTGTTTTTGAAGCTTTGGTTTTAAATATTTAATGTCTTTGCTCCCCTTGAATGTCTTGTGCTTTTTATAATTTAAATGTGAGATGTGGAATCATATGAAAGGGCTGTTCATTTTTTAATAAAGTGTAAATTTAATGGCTGGGAGCTCTCACAGTTACATGTGTAATGTGAGAATATCTGCGTTGGAGGCAAGTACTGTTTTGCTAACCACTTGTCCTGAGCAGGTACAATGTTGTATACTAGTGTCTTTTGTCTGAAGTAGTTGAAACAATGTTTTTCTTCACATAAGTTCTCCTTTCTTCTTACCTCTTGATGTCTATGTGGATAACTGGGTGAGCAGGAGTTTCTACACACATGAACTAGGTCTTAGAGTTCCCACAGAGTAGCTTCCACAGTTGCAAACCATGCTCCTTTACAACAGTAGTTGTAGATAATAATGCAGTAATAATTTGTGAGACAAGGAACTAAATTCAGAGTTACGGTCTTCAGCAGTGTATTTCAGGTGAAAAGCAGCACAAATGTCAATCAAACAACAGAACAGCTTTAGAAAAACATACTTTTTAAATCAGCTTTGAAAGGACAGCCCTTCTGTAGGACTGTGGCAGACATGCAGTGACTGATGAAACTGAGCTGCAGCGGTCTTTTTGTTTTCAGAATGGGGCTGTGACCTGTTCTAGCCTATTGCTGAGCTAGAAAAATGAGGTTTAGAAAAGTGCTGAGCCAAATGTTGTAACACTGTTAGTGTTTAATATGTCCTGGTAGACCTGTTCTCCATAAACTTGTCCCTTCTGACCTCCCGGTTATCGCGAGTTCCATGGTCTAGGTGTGGAGCCTTTGTGAGGAGCTGCTGTGTCCTGTTGTTTTGGCTTTTGAAGTTGCTCAGAAGGAGATCAGAATAGTGTGAAATACTGACTATGATGTGTTATTTGAAAGGTGTCATAGCAGTGTTCTCTCTCCCTCTTTTTTTTTTCCTCCCTTTACTAATTTACAGTTCCTGATTTTCTGTTTGCCTTTTTTTTTCAACTACCATAGGGAATGGAAATGGTGTTTTCAGGTGCCTGTGCAGAATAAATCCTGTACTGTGTCCTGTGTGAAAACAGCTAACTTTGAACTCACAGCTCTGTCTGCAGTTATAATTGTTGTGCTCTCCCCTTGTGTTATTTTCAAAATAATACTTGAATTTAATTTTTTCCTGACATTTCATCTCATCATTACCAAAAATAAAACTGAATGCAGAAAGTCATGATAAATCTTACAGTGTTGCAATGAATAATTCTGTGTCCCTAGCAAAAACTTTATCGAGCCATTTGGCGCTCTGCAAGCTGCTGTGACTCTGAACAGTGCAGATAATGTGGAATTGAGCTGGTGGGTCAACTTCAGTGTGAAAGCTGATCCTGGTTTTCTTTTTAATAGACAGCTTGATTTATGTAGAGTCTTTGGTAAGAGACATTGAAACAGTTCAGTTCCCCAAGAGCTTTGTGGTGTGGTCTAGGTCAGCTTTGACTTGGACTTTTCTAAGTTGTGACTTGACTCAATAAAATCACACTAACTCATTACTAAAAGGCTTATCCCAAAATGTGCTGGTTCTGTTAAGATTTCAGCTAGCCTGTTCTTAAACTTATTAGGACTCCAAGAAGTTGATAACTTCTTACAGGCTCGTCACCCTTGTTTCTTTCCATTGCTGTGTCATTAACAGGAGCGCTAAATACCGTAACCAGAACAGTTTCATGCTAGAGTTCTATTAGAATCTTGGGAGAAAAATATAGCAAGAGAATTAATAGAATTATGTCAGAATTAAGTCAAAAGTCAGTATTATTGACACTTCAACTCAGGTGGTCGCCCCTTGTGAACATACCCTTGTGAAAGTGGCTCTAATTTTAAAATATAATAATAAAACATGACAACAAAAAAACCCTGCTTTGAACTCAGTCCTAGTATGTGAGAGTATTTGGGCAAAAGAAAACGAGCTTTTCTACTAAGCTTTTACTTTCTGAACTTTCTAATATGTAGATTATCTGTTACCTACACAGACCACCTGCTTTTGAACTGGATGGGATTTTTATTGTGGGGCAAAAAAGTCTTATTTCTTGCCTCTTTGGATTGCCTTATGGTTGAACCTCTTTTGGCTTGTCGTGGGGCTCAGAGGAGAGCTTACTTTCTTTTCTTTTCATGCACTTTTATTTTTAACTTACATGAAGGCTGCAATCCTGTTTCCCATTGTGTTTTTTTAAGACTAAATAAATTTAACAGAAGATTGAGACAGCTAAGGTTAGCTTTCTGTTTCCTTATACATCTTAACATTCCTTTTATCTCGTTTATTTATTTTCCTCTGGATTTATTGAGTCCCAGTCTTTTTGCATTGCCATGTCTGTTACTAGATGTGTTACTACAGCTTACGCTTTCTTTGTTAAACTGAAGATTTCACTTCATGTGTCCTGTGAAATTGCAAGCCATGGATCCATGGCTTTGGATTCCAGTCAGTGATCCTTGTAGAACAATTCCCTGTGCTGAACCTGCCTCTTTGTACCCAAACACAGAATTCGAGTGCAGTTCAGTGCACTTGGTTTTTCAGCAGCTGTAGCAATGGCCAAGATTATTCCTGAATTTTACTTCTACTTCCAATACGTGTAGTTGCCTCCAGCTACCTCATCTGCATGTGTAAAGAGTATGTTTTCTATATGGTTAATATCTATAACTAAGGACAAAATACATTTGAAAGGATTTTAGCATATCAGTAATGTGGTTATATTTCAGAGTTACTATTATGAAAGACAAAGACACCAGGAAGAGTAAAGGAGTTGCCTTTATTTTATTTTTGGATAAAGAATCTGCGCAAAACTGTTCTCGAGCACTCAATAACAAGCAGGTAAGTTGGGGAAAGTTATTATGGCAAAAAGGCTGGATTTAGAGCTCCCAAATATTTACTTTTTTTCTCCAATTTGCTGTAGCTATTTGGAAGAGTAATAAAGGCAAGTATTGCCATTGATAATGGAAGAGCAGCAGAATTCATTCGCCGGCGAAACTACTTTGATAAGTCTAAATGTTATGAATGTGGGGTGAGTAAAACCAAAAATGATCACAGATATTTCCATCTTTGTTTTTTTTTTTTTTTCTTCTCCTGTTTGGCCACTGCTAACACTGCATATGGTGGGCACTTCTTGCTACTAGTATTGTCAACTCACGTAACTGAGTTCAAGCATGAGAGTAGCACTTGCTTATCTTATTTGAGATTTTTGTGGCGAGCGGAGGATAAACACTTGTAATGACTGTATGATGTGCTGGTGAGTAGGCAGAGCTGCCTGTTATCAGTATAATGCTGAGTGAGAGGGAAAGCCTCTCACCTTCGCTTCAGCTTATCGGCTTTTGCTGCCTCTTAGAGTGTTCATGATATGTTTGGGGCTAAAATAAATGTAAGAAACAACTGATTTTGCACAGAATAAATCTTTTTTTTTTTGCTTATAAGCAATTTCTCATCTATCTTGAATATAATGTCTTGAACACTTGAGATTTGGACAGTATTTAATACCAAATGCAAACTTGAATTCTACAAATCTCTATTCTTAACATATTTGAGAGCAGAAATGCTGACTCTTATTTCTAATACTGTTAAGGCTGCGGTTTATATCTGATCTTGAACATGAAATGCACTCTAGTGTGTTTAGCTAGTTGCAGCAACAGAATAAAATTCACTTTGTTTATAGTGTATTCTGAATGTGAGGCTAAAGATACATGTCACCACCAGTCTCTTAGTTTCCATGGCAAATTTCTCAATACAAATTTGCCTTCTGTGTACTAATACATTGCTACATAGTCCAATGGACAATTGGGTTTATCTTACCAATTACTTGGTTTTTTTTCACTATGAACTGTATTTTGTTACCTTTGTTTGTTAGTTATGTTAACTTTCCTCCTGATTTGTTTCAACATATAATTGTTGGTAGTGGCTTCTTGTAACCAGTATCTCTTTTTTTTTTTTTTTTTTTTCTCTCTCCAAGGAAGCAGGGCACTTAAGTTATGCTTGTCCTAAAAATATGCTAGGAGAGCGGGAGCCACCAAAGAAAAAAGAAAAGAAGAAGAGAAAGAAAGTAGTTGAACCAGAAGAAATGTATGTATATTTATTTACACGCTGCTCCTACTTTTAGCCAGCTTTTTTTCATACCGAGTGCTTGACATAGAGGTTTCCATGTTTTTCTCTTTGTGTGCAATGAAGTGAGGAGGAAGAAGAAAGTGAAGAAGAAGGTGAAGACCCTGCGCTAGATAGCCTCAGCCAGGCCATAGCTGTTCAGGTACAAAACTGAAGCATTATATATTTATTTATAAGCACAACACAACTTCCTTTTGTACTTGCCTTTCAAAAGCCTTACAGACTGCAAGATGCACCTTTAAGTCTGTCCGGTGTGTAGCTGTCAGGGCACTGTGCCTGACAGTAGTTGTAGACTGCAGTTTGTTTCTTCAAGTTGCAGGCATGTGGAATCTTTGTACTGTTTCCCTTTTGCTATCTGTGCTTTTGAAATTCTTCATCCTTTCCTTCAAGCTTTTTCACTGCTTAGGTCCCTGTTGTATGTGCTGTAATGCACCATTAGGTTTTTGTTCTGCAAATCCCTTTTTGCCCTAGTAACTGAGCATCCAGAAAAACAATCATGTCTAAATGAACAGGTACGTCCTTTGCCCTTGTTCACTGAAGAAAAACGTTGAACACCTGTTTTTGGAGCATTTCCTTTACCAAACACAATCCATCACTGTCTTCTGTAGAACCTTTTCCTCAGGACATGTTTCATGCAGCTTTTGTTGTATTAATAGTCTGACAGCTGTATCATCTCCTTTCTTACTTCTGTACAGATTTTTGCCTCACTGCACAAAGCAAGCCTAAATTGAGGTTCAGATTTCATGGCTCCCCAATCCTCAGCTATTCCTTCACCCTTTTAAAAAAAAGTTCAGAGCTGTTAAGATAAATTTGTCCTTAATATAACTGTATCAAGGTGAGAACAGACTCTTACATGATCTAGTCTGAAAAAATGTTGCAAATATTCAAAATTACTCATCTGCAAATGCTCCACCATTGGAAATTTTAAGTGATAAATAAGCCAGGAAATACATCAGTTTCTTTCATCATCCTAAGTTTTTGATTGGGAAGTCCTGTGTCCAAGTGAAAAATGAAAATTAATCAATTGAATTGTCAATCAATTGAAAATCAAATTAGATTTTTCCCATTGCCAAGGGTGTGAATTAATGATTGCAAAAGTGAAGAGAGAAGTTAGTAGGACAAAAAAGTGCTCCAGTAATGCCAGCTTGCAATGCAACATATAGTTGGCTTCAAATCTCAACTACCCTAAAATTTGGAAAGCTTCCTGTGCACATACAGGTCCTCCCTTTGAAAAGTAAAGGGTGCTGCCTGTGGTCTGCATTTGGTTTAGAGGACGTTTTTACTGTTTGCAAGTGAGAATGACTTTCAGAAAGGCTTTTGGCACATTCTTCAGTTAGTCTACCCAGAAATAGAGGTAAGGCCTTTGAATTCTTCTGAAATAGTTCAGTGCATTCTAATAATTGTAGTCTGTAATGCATCTTAGTGTTTCTTAGTACTTTCAAGTACTACACGTAATACACTAAATACTTTCAATTCTTCCATTATAGCAAGCCAAAATTGAGGAAGAGGAACAAAGATGGACACAGACCGCAGGGGAGCTGTCGATTTCAGATGATTCAAAACGTCCACGGATTAAGAAAAGCACTTATTTCAGTGATGAGGAAGAACTTAGTGATTGAAATAATGCTGTTTTTATACACCTACATGTATATAATGTACATTTTGTAAAGTGATACATGGTTATCTGTGATATGAGTTTGTCTTGGTGTTGAAGGCATTTAATTAAAAAGAAACCGTAGCAATTCTGTTCCCCCTCCAACTCTTGTTTTTTAGTTCCCAACACAGTGTCTGATCTCTCTCAACTTCTGCCATCAAGGCAGCTACCGAATACAGTGATGTGTTTTTAAATTAAATACAGAGGAATATCTGGGAGAACACCTCATGCAGTTAGTGTCTAGAGCTGAAACTTGGGGTGAAATCTTTTTCATAAGAGGTGCTAAGAGGAGTTCCTCTTAGGATTAGTTGGCACCACTGACACTTTACGTGTTGGTCAGTTTAAAGCCCGTTTGAAGCAGTGCTTTAGTGGCGTGTTAACTCTGCTCCCCTGCCTAGGGCTGATTTACTTTTCAGTCTCTGTCATTGTGCTAGTCTTTTAATTGTTTTTGCAATTATATAATAAAAGACTGTCTTGTAAGCTTGTTCTGTGGAATCATTTTAAGCTAAACAATGCACCTCTCCATTTCCAAGAAGTGTTAAGATACTGTTTTTCTGTCCTATACACAGTTTTAGTAACCTGCTGTAATCTAAATACAGGTTTGATAGGAGAGTTAAAAGTGAAGTGATGACTAGCTTAATCTTAAAACCTTCATACTTAGTAACTTTTTTTTTTTTTTAAGAATGGTAGTTTGTTCCTCTTGCATTAAAAATAAGAAAGGCCCTGTGATGAGGGCACTGTTTCTCCTAACTGGAATTTTGGTGCCTAGCATGGTCATTATGGCTCTGCACTGTTTTTAAAGGTACTTGTATTTAACACCGGTCTCAATCATATCTACTTTTTAGGCTTTATCTGCTGACAAAACCTGAGGTCCAATAAGGTTCCCTGAGTGCATGTAAACCAGCTCCTGTGTATCCTATGTATGCTTGGAACTGTTGTGTTCTCCGAGTGAAGTGCGTTGGCACCTCTCTTGCACCTAAAGATGTTCAGACCTTTTAACCAGGGCTGCAAGCCTAAATTTCTGTAAGATCCTACTCAGCCGTTCTGCTAGCAAGCTCAGTACAAGGCACTGCAGCAGTTACCACTCCCAGAGTGCAGGTGAGTGGTGCTGGGGACAACCTTTTCCTAAGAGCTGTTTTGTGGCAAGTCAAGCCTTTCGTTTTTGGGAGCCACAGGATAACACACACTCACGCTTTCGTGTTTGGCAAGAGAGAGCAGCTGGCCTCTGTTTCTATTTTCAGCTCTTCCTGTTGCTTATCAAGACTTTATTTTCTTCCAGATCTAGAAAATGTAAATCTGGATGTACCATTACACATTTCTAGCTAATGCAAATTTACACTTAAATATATGACTATATGACTGTTTCAGCAACACGCCCTGCCTTCCAGTAAGCTAACACAAAGTAGTCTGTTTTAAAAGGTCATTCTTGGGTCTTTTGTTCCTGCTTTCACAGAAGTTGAGATATAAGAACAAGGTATTAAATTGATTTTTTTTTTAGCTCTGCACAAACTATTCAAGACACAGGGTTGGAGATGTACAGACGTTACATATAGGAAAATCTTAGTCTCTCCAAGGAATATCTTTACAGCTGTGTGACTTGATGCTGAAAGCACAATATACTTGGGGTACAGAAATACAGAGCTTTAGAGAATTTCAGAAAGATCTCTTGATACTGAGTAGCTGGGTTCTGAAGTGCCAGGTGCAATTTAGCATTAATAAATGCAAATTACTGCGCACTCTGTAATAATTAAGATTGTTTTTCTACAGTGAAGACTTGGAAGCTGTGCTGAGAAAAAGATCTTGCTGTCAGTGTCTATGCTTCTTGGCAAGTGTTAGGCTGCTGCTCCATGGTAGTCAAACAAGTAGATAAAATCTTTTTTTTTTTAAAAAAAAAAAAGGGAAAGAAATAGCAGAAGTGGGGGAAAAAAGTTACGCTACAATAAAAATCGTATTCTGTCTGCATCTGCAATAGTACAACCTATTTCAATAGGATAAGGGATAGAGGACTATTTGACATCATCCATGACTCTGTTCTGGGAATATTTGCCAACTGGTAAGATTTAAGAGGCATTTGCTGAAGTGAACAGGCAGTGAATTTCAATTAATTTTTATTTCAGCACACTAGGTAATTTGGTAGTGGAGCTCATTGTAATGGGGCTTTTTTTTTCAACGTGATAGGGTCAGAAGAATCTCCTATTTGTGGCATGTTATAAGGCTTTAATGTCAAAAAAGGCTTAAATACAATCTCTATTAGCAAACCCTAGGCTACTCCCCACCTGCAGTTGTGAAGTGTGGGGAGAAACTACCAGCCTGGAAATGCTGCATTCTTTTCACTTTTCCCGGGTATTTGCTGCCGCTGCCTTGTCAGAACCAACAAACCTGACCTTTGTTCTGGCCGAGTTCCGCACTTTGCTGCAGGTTTGGGTAGCTAAGGCAGGTTGGTGGGTCTTGGTGTGCTGCTGTCAGCGCAGAGCAGCCGCTCAGGCCGGGTGCTCCCGGTGCCACTGCTCCAAGCTCCTCTGTCCGAGTGGCTCGGAGAGGCCCGTGGTGCTGGAAGGGAAGCAGATAAAGCCTGCTCTATGCAGAACAGGCTCCTAAACTCCTTACCTTAAATCATCTTTCTTTATAACTGTAAAAAACAAAAACAAAAAACAACCACTTAGTGCTTTCTAAAACCAGGCCCCAGGGGACCTGTGGAGGAGTGGGATCCTTGCACTGGTTCAGGGAACCGAAGTCAGGAGTCCAAGTGTCTAATCGTTGTTGACAAGGTAATGAGGCATCTTTAGGTGGGAAATCCCACACGTCACATTAGATAGCTACTAAATTAGAGAGGCAGAGTACCCGTTCCGCTTTCTTATGTCTAGATTTAATATCTGAAACAATCTCTGACGCAGCTGCCTCACTCTGGGAAAAGGCCGAGGCTTGTTGACTACCTCTTCTTCATCTTTGAACACCAAGGGGTTTGCTCCTGTTTTTGCCCGACCTGACCTATACCCGGCCGTGTGGCTTTAGGTTCATGCTGATTTGGTGTTTGGAGGCAGCTGGAGTATTAACTAGGCTTCTCCAGGATTTAAAGCAAGCCAAGAGGCTACTTCTTAAATTACGAGTGACAGAGTGGTGCTTTTGCCGTAGTTTGGTGTTTTAACGCACCAGCTCAGGAAGCAGAGGTAGCTATGTTATGAAAGAGAGAAGAATAAAAGCCATCATGTAGAACACCTTCCTGTTATTGTCAGACAAACTGCGAGGAACGTTTTGTGGGTGTTTTGTTTTGTTTGGGTGGGTGTAAGGTAATTTTAGGTTCCACCTTAGCCCAGGAAGCTGAATGCTGCCATTAGAGGATACTTAGTCTGACTATGGTTTTGGGGGAGGTGACTTATTGGGTTTTTTTTAATCATTTTTTAATCATGTCAGAAACTTGGATTTTTCTGCAAACATCCATTCATTAGATTGTAGTCTTCAGTCAAAACAGAGCTTGGAAATTGTCTAAATAAGTATTACAAGACCTCTTGTCTATTGAATTTGCTAGTAGAGTAGTGACTCAAAAGCCTGTACAGAATGACTTTTTGGGGAAATAGAGGGGGCTATGGAAGGGTTAGGAATCTTAGCTTAAATGGTTATAAATTTATTGCTTAAATTGTACCTGCAGAGCATTTGTTAAACCATAACAGCCGTAAGAAACTGGAAAACCACAATATTTTCATCCACTTTTAACAGTCTCCCACTATATTCTCGACATATTCAGGTTACTACACTCAGCAGAGCAGTGGAAGGGGCTGTCAATACCGAGCACTATGTGTAGCTAAGTAGGTGATGTCTGGAACAAATTGTAAACACTCTATCTTTGGCTTCTGGGTCACTGTGTTCCCTGGGATAGCCCCGTGTTGCCCTGCAGGGACAGCTCGCCATGGGTGGCGGGGAGAGCTGCGGAGGCGCTAAATCCTGAGCTGCCTAGGACGTTCAGAGGTGTTGGTGTAGAGGGAGAGAGAGCTTTGCTCCCTGCTTCTGCTTCATCTGACATCTGCAGTGTCCTTATAATAATGTTTATATTTCCACTGTTGCTCATTTGTAACAACATTTAAAATAGACTCATCCAGTTGGGTTTTCATGAAGTGACCGACAGTAGATAGCTGGCTGTTTCTTAGTGTTGGAGATTCTAAAACTGCTGTTAGGTGTTCTTAAAGTAGTCACACTTAACAGTTCTGTTTATCTCAAGGATCATACCAGGGTGAGTTTTTTTTCTGTAGCTGTTGAAGACAATATTAAAAATGACTACATTGTGCCTTCTCTGAGGAAAAGGTATAAACTAAAGGGCTTCACCTCTCTTTCAGGGGGTGGATGAGATTGTTCCTTGTATCTATCCTGATGTCTGGAAAAAGTAATCTAGAAAGAAGGAAGAAAGTCTGAAGAAATTCTGTACATACCAGAGCATAGTGTTTTTGAGGTTGTTTGTAGAGCTGTAATTGATTCTTTGTGAAATAATGTTTCTTCAGTGTCAGACTGACCCTGACCTCGCTATGTGTTCTGAAATTCAAGATGTCCCCTTATACAAGTATTTAATGGATGTGATAGGCATACCAGCACTGAAAGAGTTATCAAATCACAGCTATAAGATGTGATAAAAGCATATGAGAAAAAACGCACCACCAGTGTGGGTCACAGTGGCATGAAGAACTACCTGAGCTTCTAATATGAGAACTATTTGGTAAATAGAGTGCTCCAGAGAATCAAATGCAACTCTGAGATTATGAGCCCATCAAAGGCAACAACTGCAAGCCTACGTTAAGTTGAGCTGAGCCATGGAATTCCAATCTTATCAGTATGCAGCTAAAGAAAATCAGAAGGTTTCCAGCTTTAGATATTGCATGGAGTTTATTGCAGTATAGCACAAGCTGTCATGTCACGGATAAAAATGCATGTTTTCAACTGTGTGTGTGATAGCAGGGGACATGTATAAATCTTCCACCCAATGAGTAGGTGCAGCTGTAAAAGGAGGAGGAACTCAAAGTAGAACCAAAAG